GTTACAAAAAAGAGTAGCGAAAAAATATATTATTAGAACATCTCCAACGGTTACTCAGATTTTTCATCAAATTTGAGTCAAAAATGACTCATTTTATCAAACGAATTTGATGCCTAATACTTTTCTTAAATTTATCACCAATTTTCTATTTAAATAATAACTTTTATAACATTTATTTGAAAATGAAATATATTATAAATTTATATCATCCAATAGATTATTGATGGTAAAAAAATCATATTATTATAAGTCAAATATATCTCAATTAAGTTCACACTTAGGCCTCGTTTGGGAACAGGCTAATTTAGTAATTTTTTGGCTATTTGGCTAAAAAGGTAGGTAAAAAAAACTTGTATGTTTAGGATAACTTTTTGGCTAATTACGAAAAGATGTGCAAAAAGTAGAGAGAAAAGAGAATCTTTGACTTTTTGGTATGGGTTGTTGGCTTTTTAGGCAAATTTTTTTTTTTTATTTTTTTTTATTACTGTTTGAACCTTTTTCTTCGAACCGTTTGAACCTTTAGGCGGTCAACCGGTTGGTCAACCGGCCGGGCAACCGGCTGGTTGACCGGTTGGTCTCTCCCAACGGTTAGGAACAGTGATTTGGTAAAATGCTTCGCCTGTTCTCGTTTTGGTACAAGATTTGCTGAATTCTGGATTTGATATTGATTTGGTGAAACCATTGGAGCTCAAAAAAGTGACTTTTTCACCAAATTTTGAATTTGATATCAGGTTTACTGAAGCGTTGGAGATGGTCTTACGAATTTGATGCCTAATACTTTTCTTAAATTTATCACCAATTTTCTATTTAAATAATAACTTTTATAACATTTATTTGAAAATGAAATATATTATAAATTTATATCATCCAATAGATGGAAAATGTCTCGTAATTCAAATTTTGTAGCTCAAAAGTGGTTCAAATGGCCAAAACGACGTCGTTTTGGCCATTTTTATGTTGTTCTGTACTCAAAACGACGTCGTTTTGGCCATTTGAGCCACTTTTAAACCACAAAACTTGAGTTACGTAACATTGTCGCAATAGATTATTGATGGTAAAAAAATCATATCATTATAAGTCAAATATATCTCAATTAAGTTCACACATGCTATCCTACCATTTATTTGCATCACACTCCCCCCTCCATAATCTAATAAAAATAATAATAATATTAGGGATCATAAAAAATATATCATAAAAATTTTTCATCATTTGATTAGTGTGTAATGTTTTATTGTATGGATAATCCAAAAGTGGAGAATATTTCATGATCATTTTCGTGATATTTTTTTTATGATCCCTAACATTACTCTAAAAATAAAGTTATGCTAAGAATTCCAAATGAATTATCAAATATTCTACTAAACCTTTCACATAAGTGTGAGATTTACACAAATCACATATATTTGGGTCCTACACCAATGTGAGAGGTTTGATAGAATTTTTGGTAATTTATTTGTGATCTATAGCATTTTCCATAAAAATATTACAAAACTACATATTTTAAAAAAAAATATTGATTAATCATCGGATGAGTTGGACAATCCATTCGGGTTGCCCATTGTTGTTGTATCCAAATCGGCTAGAATTCTTGAGTTTCCATCAATATCTTGTCTTTTTCCAATTACAAATGATCTCTTGTTATCATAAGTGCCTCAACCATTTCGAGTGTAAGTCTGCAACGATAATCTTTGATCACTCGTCCACCTACACTAAAAATTGTTTTAGAAGACATGTAGAAATACGAACTGTGAGACACCTGACCTGTGTATTTCCATTTAAGGCCCACCTTTGGACTATTTCAATTAGAACCCTCTATTCCTTGCTTACTTGCAATTTGAACCCTAGAATCAAAAAAAGGCACCCCAATTGGAACCATGTGAACCCTAACCTGTCTCAATAATTTAAGACTCAATTTTAATACTGTAATAATTAATTAACCCCATAATTAAGGATTGGTCACTCAAAACCCTAAGTATCCAGTTGTTATGACGAACCAAATTGAATTATCAAATACTAATTTAATTAAATACCACACTTAAATAAATGTTCCAATTCATATATTAAGACCTTAGCCATCATATTTTAATTGAATTACTGATTGACCCCAAATTAGTACCATCATATATACACATACTTGTACCAATTTTCTTAAACAAGTAAGTTACAGAAATATATTCACAAAATACACAAATTGTACACAAATAAATCAATTAAATCCCTCAACCAATAGTCTTCCCATCTCAGTTCTTCATGGCTTTTGTCTTTGTAGGCCGGCATGGCTGATATTGACTCCAGCTTTCCCACAGGCTGTGTACCACTGCCACTATCTAACTCAGCTGTTGGTGTATAAGCAGCCACCCTACTTCGCACTCGTTGACCCCCAAAAGCAGGCTGCCCAAATGTTGGAGTTGTAGCCCGGGCTCCTGCATGAAGTTCATGACGAAACAAAGTTTCAGCAAAATCAGAGCAAATTAAAAAGCATGGGTCATAAGATACTAAAATCCCCCACATTACAACAATGCAAAGCTCTTCAAGAAAAAACATTGAAAGTCCAAAATGTATCCACCGTATACAATACAACAACAAAATGAAGAAAAAGAAGAGAGAAGAGAGAAGAGAGAAAGAAAACCTCACCAAATGGAGAAGTACCAAATGGGCTGATTCCAAATGCAGAAGTTGATTGGCTAAATGCTGGATTGGAACCAAAACTAAAGGATGGTACACTAGAAGCACCAAAAGCAGGTGTACTTGAAGCACCAAATGCTGGACTGCTTGACGCGCCAAATGCTGGGGTGCTTGATGATCCAAATACAGGAGTGCTTGAAGCCCCAAATGCTCCCCCAGATCCAAATACAGGGGCATTTGAGACACCAAATGCAGTACCCATGCTACCAAATGTTGGACTTGCTGTGGAACAAAAGGCTGGTGCGCTTGTAGCACCAAGACCTGGGGAGCTTGTGGCACCAAAGGAAGGAGTGCTAGTTGAACCAAAAGTTGGAGTGGTAGAAGTGCCAAATGTAGGTTGACTTGATGCGCCAAAAGGAGTAGAAGAACCAAATAAGCTGCTCCCAAATGCCGGCTGTGATTGTTGGAATGTGCTTCCAAAAGGACTTGTTTGGGTAGTACAGGACAAAAAACCACCGAAAACAGACTTCTGTCCAAAAACAGAAGAACCTATGTTTCCATAATAAATAAAGAGATTAAGCTTAGTCAGTTCAATATAAATCCAGAATGCGTTGGTCACAGGATAGAACAAGATAGGGGAAAAAAATGCCATATGAATAATTGAAAATGAGAGAACTTAATTATGTCTATAAAAACAACACTAATAGACAATGTGCGACACAGGAATTAATCAACGATTAAATGATAGAACACTAGTGATGGAAAAACCACCATGTGACCATAATGATGAAAGAGATACAAGCAAGAACATCAATACAAAAAAGTAAGCAAATATCCATGCACTTAAAAGTTAAAGGAAAAAGAAGCCTAACTTACCAATAGGTCTTAATAATTAGACTTAATTCCCATCAAGTCCTATTGAAAATAAGTCCTAGTACAATCGTTGCTAAAAATAATTTTTTGTGATGATTTTTTACATGTTGCAAAAAATTGACAATTAGTGACTTTTTTTTTAAGATTTTTATAAATTGTCGCTAAAACTTACAATTAGTGACATTTTTCTACGACGGATTTTTCAAACTGTAACTGAAAGTTCAAAATTAGCGACTTTTTTTATGACAATTTTTTTAAACTGTCGCTAAAACTTCTAATTTAGTGACATTTTTTCTGACAATTTTCAAACTGTCATTGAAAATTAACAATTAGTGACGTTTTGTCATAGTGTAGGATGAAAAATGTCATTAATTATTATAAGATCTATTGAACAATAAGTCCACTTAGTAGGACCAACACGTAAGTCCCCCAAGAAAGAATAAAGAAATACAAAAAATTGGTTTATTCAGTCTATATTCCCTTTAAACACTCTGAAGGAGAAACAAATTGTTCGCTCAGCATAATATGCTACAAAGAGAGAGTGCTATACATGGTAGCTCCAAAAAAATTGAAAGCAAATTTGAAATAGAACCAGTTGAATATGTAACAAATAACTGCTAGACCACACTTGTCCATATCAATTTCTCCACGGAAGCAGTTAAATCAAGCTTTTCGCTCACCAAGGCAAGTCCTATCTAAGTAAAAGATTATTGTGCATAAAGGATTCAAAAATGCCAAATTCATCATTAGCAAACCAGGAAGATCAACTAGTTCAATTGACAATGACCATTAAATAAGTTACATACAAAAGTCAGTTTTTAACAAAATAATAATTTCATGACTACAAAAATAATAAGTATATCAAAGCAAGAAGAAGACTGGTATAAAGCACCCAAGAAAATATTAGTACAAATTAGAAGTAAAAGAAAAATAAACTGTTCAAATATAGAAATCTCCTTTGGGGTTATTAGGCATTATTCTATTCATATTGCAAAAGGAAACGAAATATTTGCTTAGTGACAATATTACTAGGAGAAAGTCACTGACTCTCCCAAAAAATCACAATTGAAAGGAGAACTTAGTGTGTTCGCAATAACTCCTAAATCAAACTCCTCGGGCTTTATCACCCCCAACATAGCATTTAAATCAAGCCATGGAATCAATGACCCAAGTCTAATCAAGTAAAATTATTTATAATGAAAAATTCAAATGTCAAACTCATAGTGAGTACATATTCCACCTAAGAACCATTTCCACTTCCCCGTATCGAACGGTCAAGAAAGGGATTGATGGAAAATAATGACTAAAAGAACAATAAAACATCTGAAAATCAATGTATATTGTCATAACTGAAACTCCATTGCCTAGGGGATGCTAGGATGCTAACACATTCCCAAAGAAGCTATAGACTATGCCTTATAGATTCTGCCTAATCATATATCAAATTAAAATAATCAGACCAGAAGTGGATATGGAGTACCCTCCTTAAAAGTACTTACTGCCAATTGATGATGATGAAGCTCCAAAAGCAGGAGTTAATGAAGCTCCAAAAGTAGGCATGGAACTACCAAAAGTTGGTGTGGAAGTCAAAGGTGATGATGATTGGGTTGCACCAAAAACGCCACTTGAAGTGCCACCAAAAATGGAACCCCCTGTCTGCGAATCCAAAGGGGTTGTACTACCGAAGGGTTTTGGAGTAAATGGATTGCTGCTTGCATTATTAGCCTGTCCAAAAACTGATTGGGACCCAAATGGGCTATTGGATGACTGCCCAAAAGCTGTCAATTGATTCCACATTTACAAGTATGCAGAAAAAGGATGAAAAACAAATAAAAAAGATGGTCTATTTACCAGTGAACCCCACCATATTACTAAGGAAAAGAAGAGCAAACATTGAAAGAACTTACATCATAAACAATGTATGATATAAACATCAATGCATGCAGGTTCCAACCAAACATTTATTTTTATTTAGTATTTATTTATTTGTGACAATACCACGTATACACACATTAATGAACATAGATCATTCCTCTTTGAAAAATAGAAAAAGGCACAAAAGCAAGAAAGAGGGAAAAAATTAAAAACAAAATAGAAAGGGAAGAAGGAAAAAAAAAAAAGGCATTTCATGTTCAAAAAATCAAGGAACTCGACAGTATGCCAAGGAACAAACTTTACAAGAAGAACTTGTTTCAAGATGAATGGTGGTGATTTCCATGGACAAAACTTATGCTAGGTTGTCTACACATGTCATCAGTTTTCATACCATATCCATGAGTCAATGATCATCTGACACTTTACAATGCTTACTCCATGTGTTTTTATAATTTCTCTACTGTGCATATAGCATTAGTCTAGGACACGTTTTGCTTTGGTTTAATTGACTTAGGCTTGCCAGATTTCAATTATGTGTGCTTTTATTACCTCATTGATTGAGAAACAGGATTGGACCAAATTTTAGCTGTGTTACTATTACTTCTTGAAAAACAATGCAAGAATAGACAATCCGAGAGTCCTGATCAAAGGGCATTCAAGCAATTCAAGAGCTAGACAGGCGCCTGGTTTGCCACTCAAGAGGTCCATTCAAAGCCCGCTTAAAGGCAGCTTGACCAATGTACAATGATTGGATTTCTAGTATATCATGCTCAAAGGCTACTTGAGCGTTGTGTAGAGTTTTGGAATTGAAGAAAAACTATATTGATCAACCTAGAAATAGGGCTATTATAAAATTATGAGATACACAAATAGATTTCTGTGGTGCCCTAGCATCCATAGTGTTCCAAACCTCAAACAAGATCACATGAAACTTAGACAAACAATTCTAATTCAATAAACTAACAGATCTGTACACCTTCGCTAGTTTAATCATTAAAAAGCCATACACACACTTGCATCTCACATTCTTTGGCCAGCAGTGTTTGAGACGCTTTGTGAATCTAACGCCCAGAGTTAGATCCATTTAAACCATTTAAATGGATTTAGACTTGCCTAAGAAAGTGGTTTAAAAACTAAACCTCAACTATTTGACAGGAGTCATTATGCATATTGGAAAGAATGCATGAGATCTTTCTTGAGGCATAGTCTTGAGGCATAGTTGGGTTATTTGTTGACTATGGCTATATACCACCTTGCATAATAAATGCTAAGGGTGAGTCCAAGCTTAAACCCCTTCAGATGGGACAAAATTGACAAAAAATAATGGAAAGAACAGAAGCCTTGATCACTAAGTTTCAAGCCTTACTATTAAAAACTCTAAGCTTTAAGCACTAAGTTTAAAGAATGTAAATGCAAGAGTCTGAACTTTTGATCGATCTTATTCTAGACTCGATAGCATAGTGGGTGTTTGGCGCAGCTACAAAGCTGCTTATTTTAACTTTTAGCTTAATTTAAGCTAAAACATTGTGTTTGGTGCAACTTAACTCATTAGATTACAGCTTAAATTAAGTGGAAAAATAGTTTTTTCTTGAAGTGGCTGAGGGGGTGCTTTGGAGATTATAGATTAAGCGGAAAGTTGGTTTGGACGGGCAAAATTACTTAAATGCCCCTTATCAAACTCCGGTATTACCAAATACCTCGTATATAAAGCACACTCTCAAACTGTTCACTCTGAGAGAGAGAGAGAGAGGCGATTTCCGGCGAGGGTTACGGTTTCTGGCAACATCTCTCTCTCTTGATCGACCTTCCGCCGTCGTGATCACAACTGAGGGGCAAAACCCTAACCGTCGCGATCGATCTGAAACCCTAGAGTTGCCGGTGACGATTTGAAACCCTAGCGCCGTCGGTGACGATCTGAAACCCTAGCTCCACCAGTGATGATATCAAATCCTAGCGCGATCGATCTTTTCTCTCTCTTCTGCGATCGCTTTCTTCGCGATCTCTTCACCAATGAAGGAGGCGGCCTCCTGTGACAATCCAGCGTTGCTCTCTCAACGTCTCTCTCTCTCTCTGTCCTCTCCATTTAACTATTTTTTTAATAAAAGAAATTATTAATTTAGTACTATTGAAAATAAATAAATAAATGAAATAATTTCTATTTAATAACTTTTATTAAATAACTAATTGATGTTTATGAAAATAACAATTGTTGTTATTAAAATGGATAGAAAAAAAATAATACATAATGAAGTCACAACATTAATATAAATACATGAATATGAATTGATATTAATTGTAATGAATTAATAAATTAAACAATTTTTTTTTTGATTATTTAACTTTTATTAAATAACTAATTGATGTTTATGAAAATAACAATTGTTGTTATTAAAATGGATAGAAAAAAAATAATACATAATGAAGTCACAACATTAATATAAATACATGAATATGAATTGATATTAATTGTAATGAATTAATAAATTAAACAATTTTTTTTTTTGATTATTTAATGAAAAAAAATTGTGATTTTTATATTAATAAAAAAATGAAATAATAATTAAGCCATTAATGAAATAAATTTTATATTAATTGATACTAATTAAGCCATTTTACAGCATATTCAACCAAACATTACTCTGCTGATTAAATCCATAATTTTACAGCTGCACCAAAGAGGTTAACAGCTTATGTTTAAAGCCATAATCCAAAATCTGTTAAGCCATAATCTATAATTATTTTCCCACAGCTCTACCAAACGGGGCCATAATCAACTTCACATTCAACTTAAGTGAATCCATCAGAGTTAAAAATTGTGAGAAGGTTTTGAGGCGTCCCCTTGACCGATTCAGGGCTAAATTGTTATAGGAAAGAGTAAAGACATAGATTTCCTCATGATAGAAGAGCTCACAAGTTGTCACCAAACCTATGGACTCAACATATGACCTGCTTCTCCCTAATAAAACAAAGAGTATTGCACTTAAAAAGCCACTATAGGACATAGTAAAGTATCATGATGTAGAAATAGGTGAGGAAGACCTTACTATGTTTGCTTAAAAATGTAAGAAATTCCTTAAGGTTCAATTTGGATGGTATGAATCTTGAGGGGGAATGAGAATATGATTTAGGGCCCTTGTGATTCCACTATTTGGAATTAATTGGAATCGGAAAGTGATTCACGATTACATACTAGACTGGAATCACTTTCCCAAATTAAGCAGAAGTCTAATCCCTACACTCCCATACAGTAATCCCACATTTTTAAATGAATGAAAACCATTTAAGAGTAAAAAGTAGATTGCCTCACAACATTTAAAATTTTATAATTTGCCACATTTGTCAATAGATAATTCCTAACTAAATCAAATGCTTGAATAATATTGACAAGTAATTTTATTACTAGTAATAAGATTCTCATTCCTTCTTTTTGACCCCTCCACCCAAACATAGCCTAAGTCTAAAAAGAGCAATACGTCCTCAAAACCTACGAACAAACAATCACTATTGATGAGTATAGGCCCATACGGGCTGATCCAGTAGACGCCGCTGGGCCAAGGCCCAACTCAAGTCTACCAAGGCCCCTTTGGTCAGCAAGCCAGACCATCTGTCCAAGTCGGACAACCACAAGCAAGCAACTAACCCCTGGGGCCCTTCCATAATGGGCACAACGCAGTCACACAGAGGACGCATTGTGTCATTTGCTTGTCTCCTCTGCCACTTCAACTTGCAGGTGTACAATCATGCACATCCCAAGAAAAGAGCACAATGTGGTCCCCATTGGCAGATAAGAATATACATACAACCACAATACGCATTCCAAGTATCTTATCTCATTCTCATCTTTTGTATTCCTCCATTGCTCTCTATCTTCAAGAGAACTAATTTATTTGTCAGAGATCCCCTAAGAAGGGCACCTACCGATAAGGGTTTTGTTTGCAGGTTACCACCAAAAGACCCGAAGCCTAACTATCTAGCGCAGATGACCCGTGAATCCAATGGCCACCATAGGCCTACCAAATACTGATTGTCATCAACTACAAATCTAATCAAAATAAAAGTGATAAGAAGTCTCAATCAGGAAAGATAGGAAATTCAAAAGGAAAGTATCACAGATATCATGTTTTTGGACATATTTCCAAATTCTATCCAGTGCCCTAACAGGTAAATGTCCAAAGCCAAGGGACTAACAATCGCATAGGTTGCCAATGCCTCTAAGGAGAGCTTAGACTAAGGCGAAGACTATAAGAACGATACTACATGGTTATTTGAGAGAGAGGATAGACTTCTCAACATGAGAAAGCTCTAGACTTAGGTAGTGGTGCATGTGTCTAGCTCCAACGGTAGTGTTCCTAAGGAGCTAGATGTCTCTAATGGGGGGGAAGTACAGTCAATTCAGCACGCTTATGCTGAAATGTATAAAGAGTGTCTCAAGCTTAAGAAAAGTAAGATGGACATGGTAAAAAAGGAAGAGACGTCTTTATATCTTTTTTTTTTTTTTTTTTTTTTTTTTTTTTTTATGTCAAATTCTTTCAGATTTTTGAATTCCTAACATGTCAGCTGCAGTCCCAGTCAATGTGCAGACCATAAGCAACCAATAGTAACTACACACATTTTTTCTGCCTTGGTTGACAAAGAATAAAGCAACTTGGCAGAAGATTTGTCTACAGAAGTCACTTACTTCTAGAGAATTGACGGCAAATTCAAGGGCAGCATTTGTTTCTGTTGGTCCATTCTGCATCAGAAGATAAAAAAGCATAGGCCTATTCAGAATTTTGCTTCTAATACACTTATCACAACCATATATTTCCGTTCTCCCACATTTATGCTTACAATAAATGAAGAACTAGTAGTACTAAACTAAAGCCAAGAAAACACAAATGCAATGTATATGGTACCTCAAATGGGGGCACCAGATTTGCCACATTGCGAACTACAAAGGCTTCTCTGGGTTGAAATCCTTTCGTGTATCCATGGGTAGCCCTAGAGTCTGCACAAGCAATGACCATGAACTGTTCTTGCAAGCATCAGTTAAGAAAATCTTAACCAGTTCAGCACAAAATTGAGGCAAATTGCCAATGTAATCCCCAGATGGCTCCAAAATATATCATGGACTACAAAAAAGTTAACCCTAAAAAACCCATCATACCTTCGGTGCTTGACTCTTGGCAAGATTTTCATAGCATTCCAAGTTCTCCCTGTTCAAAGAAAACATCACATCAGGGAAACTCAATTTTCTGTGAAGCTAAACAAGAAGATGTCAGAATTATAAGCTTGCTTACAGGAATTTCTGCCTTTTGAAACTCAGAAACTGATGTTTCATTTCATTGAACAGATCAGACCCATTTTGAGTTCCTATTATGCTCTCTTGTTTGCTATTTGTGAGCCCCTCAGTCAGCCCTGGTGGTTCCATCGAGGCCTTCAACCTCAAAACAGGATTGCTTCTGTGAATTCAATCATGGAAGGTAGAAATTAAGAACAGGATACAAAACATGTTACTATGTTTAGTATCGGCAAAATACATAGTGCATATGTTTCAAATCAAATCAAATACATTCTCATCTTTTGGGCTCAATCCC